AACTGTCCCCCGGCCTCGGAGTGTGCGCGCCGACATCCCTGACAGCCAGCGCCGTCCCCTTACCTTTGAATCGGAGGTCGTTGGGGGGGTCGAGGACGAGAATCTGCTCCAGTTTAGACATTTTCACCCAAAAGTGTCGCTGACGACGGTGCCAGGGAGCTGCTGCAGACACGGAGAACGGGGAGCAGCACTGAGTCACTGAGAAACGTCAGAGAGGAGCGCGCGAGCGGGAGCGCGCCCCTGCCAGAGGTGAAGGGGGCGCGCGCTGATTACAGCGCGTTGCCGCATCCACCACACAACAAACCACCTCACGGACGAGAACTTGAGTGCAGCCATGTGGTTGGTGATACCTCAGCACCACAGTAGTCCGAATGGATCAGTGTGATTTTTTGCGGTGACTGGAATGACAAATTCCGTCACCAACCCCCAAATTTCCCTGTTAGTCGCTAGCATATCTGATTGACATCCACGAACTGGAAATTCCACGTTAGATAACTAATATAATTGTCTGTGGGCATGTAACCTGTCAGCTTTTATATGACGCATGGCAACATTTGCACCTAATGCCGCATTTTAGAACAACATTGTTTAATTTAGAATTAGGTAATTAGTTTTGACACCCCACAATGCACAACGAAATGTGTCCGCTGCATTTAACCCATATGTGACATAGCAGGGGGCAGCTAATTCAGCACCCAGGTAGCAGTGCTTGGGGGTGGTACTTTGCTCAGGGTACCTCCTTGGTGCTTTGTTGGTTGGGGATTTGAACCAGCAATCTTTCAATTACAAGCGCGATTCCCTAACCATCAGGCCACCACTGCCCACAGTTTATTATTCATAATTACTACTGTGAGGACTGATGACTATAAAATTTACTTTGGTTTATGAATCCAAAAGCATATTTGTTTTAAGCGCTGTAGACAGGGAGGACAAATGGCTAAATGTTTACTGGAAATAGTTGGCATAATGTTTAAATGTCTAAATTAAGTTTGTAAAAATAAGCAAAATGTAAGAATAGGCTCTGGTTCTGGTCTCACTGTCACGAATACCAGTGCCAGTCATGCAAAAACCTCATGTGGTGTTCAGCCTAAGTGCCTTGTTTGTGAGAAATGGAGACTCCCGCCCAATGTTAGCCGAGCCCCGCAGAATATCTTTCTATTCATGTCTTCTGTGCTATTTTGAGCAAAAGGCTGTTTTCAAAGATGAGTCCAAGCAAATAAAGAAAGATCTCTTAGTAATTAGAATTTACATGGCGCTCCATGCTAGTTATATGGATAGACCATATAGTAAACGGAGAATATGCTAAAGCTAAAAATCAGAAATAGCACTAAGTAGTATTAGGCCTTCTTACCTGTCCACTATTTTATGTCTTTGCTCATTGTAACAAAATATATTGCATAATTTTGTATTATTCGATTCCCTGGAAAATACATAAAATTTCATGGTAAATGTACTTACGAAATCATTAGAAATCACATGTAACTGAAGTAGCATATTGTGACAGGAAAGAAGCGTGTTACCAATGACAGTGACCATTACCACTTTCAACCAGCCGGGGGGTGACGCGTTATACCGCTGTAGGCCTATAGCAGTTTGCTTATCTACACACGTGTCCCGTTTTCACTGCCACTTACCCAAGGCAGGGTCACAGCACCTGAGCCCTATCCCAGAAAGCACCGGGCACACCTTGAGAAGATGCCAGTCAATCACAGGCCAAACACAAAGGGTAATTACAACCATCAATATAACTACAATATAACTCTTTAAAATACAGAAACAGAGTGGTAATGCTTAGTGAATTAATAAAACTCCATTTGAAGACTAACTGAACAAGATACTAAAATCACACATATGACAAGCTTTAATAATATTAATTGTTTATTGACATGAAGGTTAAAATATGCTAATCTGGTCAGCCTGGATTATAAAAAAGGGTTACAATTAAAATGACTGTGTCTCATGAAGATACAATATATTTATAGCCACGCGATTAATCTATGCAACTTTACGTTGGCGTCCAATCATTTTTCCAGACTGCATTTGAACAGGGCTGTGTGGAAGTGACATCACACAACATTACTACTAGGGTTACAAATATCTACACTGCCCAGGGACATATTACATGTTACATGTGCAGTGCTTACAGTGGTAACATGTAACTACAGGAAAATTCAGAAAGAGTGGTTAGATGCAGCCAGTCCATCACCAAATGTTACCCTAATATCTATGTAGCACTGCAGCAATGTTACTTTGCATTTAGTATTTCATAAGTCAATATGAATGTCTTTCTAATATTATTTTTACAAGCACTTCAAAAATGCTGAACATGTAATTACAGCGCCTGTCCAAATAATGCAGCATAAAACATAAAAGAAAAAAAAAACCTCAAAGGGAGGAGGGAGGGACTGCTGAGGTCATCATGAGGCCTTGCGAGATACTGCCAGCCAGCCCACAGGATCCTCCCTGTCCCTCTGCATTGTCAGGGGAGCCCAGTAGTGGAGTTACCTGGTATACATTCTGGTGTGTTCAAAATGAAAGGCCCCTTAGAAGCACAATGCATCAGAAATGTGTGATGCTTTAGGCAATAACTCCAGCATAGGGACACAGACAACAGTGTAAATACAAAGTATAGGCCAATAATAATGAAGATATATATATATATAGAAACAACAATAACATACAAACTGAAGATTACCCTCTTCAAATACTCAAGAAGGGAACTCCAATGCAAGTTACGCTATGCATTTTTACAATCTCATTATTGACAATGCCATAAAAAAAACATTACATCATAGCAGGAGGAATCTCCACATTTTAGACTTCAGGTCATCAGGCAAACAAAACTGGAAAAGTGGCCCTGATTTCTTGGAAAAGGCCCCTCTTGGGCTGAAGTGTGCTGTGTCTTTCAAGCCCGCACAGCCCTGCCATGGTCAGTCACATTTAGGGTAAAAAGCATAGGCTTTCTGTTTCAATTATATCCACTGATGCACCTTAAACTCCATTTTACCTAATAAATGATCAATTCTTTTACATGTACAAAAGATTTTCTTTTCTGTTGTTAAGAAAATCGGATTGAATGATAGTACTCATCTATCAGCTGTTTTCTTCAAATTGTGTTAATCAAACTGTTATGAATGAGTTTAACTGGATGCCAGTCCTTTTACAATCTGACTAATGTAGCCTCAGAAGTATTTTAGAAATGTACCGCAACTCTGTCTAGGTCAAGTGGAAATAGAAAATGGATGGCACTGAGATTAAAATCTGTATCTCTTCTAGTCCTTACTGACCTTGCTTGATATTATTTAACTCACCTTATAATGACTAAGTCATTATAAGGATTTACCTCACCTGGGTTAAAAAGTTTAACATATAGTTTAAAGTGTGCCCATTAAAATGCGTGACTTTGCTGTAAACACTGTTCCTGTAAATACTACCAGCAGAGGCACTAACACCGACAGCCACAGAGAAGAATTAACTGTTTTTATGAGCTGTATTTAAGTGGACAAAACAGAAAATTAGCGTGATATCAAATCTGACCAAGACTGGAAGGAAGGGGGCTATTCTCACAAACGAATTATTGTAACTTACATAATTTTTCAAATTATGTTGAAGACAGATTCAAATTATACAAGACTTATGTAAACTCTGGGACAGTTAATCAGTCTTATTATAATAGCACTTATTTCTGTAATAAAAGTATTTCATCAAAACCATGGCAAGATTTACGAGCTGAGAAATGACAAAACTAATAGAGGAAATAATGTACATTTTATCATACAAACTGTTTATTGTGGGTAAAGATTTGGAACAGTTTTTTCATTTGATCGTAAAACTGTTACAGTAATATTTTGGCTACTTATTTAAGCAAAATGTTAAAATAATCATTAAACTAGAGCAATAATGACTGTTTTAATATACCTAAAAAGTTAATGTGATGTCAATTGTTCTACTCAAAAAACACTGTATTTAATTTGATTTTTTTTTCCTGACATTAACGTTAAGTTTGTGAGAATGACCCAAAGGTATATTAGTGCATTTGAGTGTACAGTCACAGAATGAGAAGGACTGTCATTTTAATTTATCAGAATGCATATATAAAGACAGACTGAAAGTAAAGCCTTTAATATTAGTATTGCTAACCACTAAGGTCAATGCAACCCTGGAGTGAACTAGCCAACAAGATACACTGGAAAATATGTAAGCTTTCATTATCACTGCAAAGCACATCATCAGCTCTCGTGTATCTTCGTGTATCGTGATACTGTGAAGTATCTTTAAATGAATTAAAGGTTAAAAAAAAAAAACCATATTCTGTGACTGCACAAAGATGAAAACATTCCTTTACGATATGACTCGGGTGCCTAATCATTTTAAAAATAACATAAAATACAGGTCTGGTCCTGGACACAACTGGCTTCATAAACTACAACTTATAATTCCACTGCCAACTTATAAATGCATGTTATCAAGGTTATTTTTACATTGAAATTGAAAAAGTCATAGCCCTAGAATAAGAGGTTTCTTATAGATTCATTCAAAACGTGAAACACACATCATTGTTCATACAGGCTACAGGGAGATCGAGTCTAATTAGGAATCCTAATGAAGTTTCTGTTAATTTAAGGTAAATGTGTTATAAATAGGACGGATGTTTCATGGAATGTTTGCTGATATTGAGTCTGATCTAATGCTGGGTCCCCCCCCCTTTAGGAATCTCACAACAGGGAGCTGTGCCTAAGAGGCTTTAAAAGAGCTGGGGGGTCTCACTTCTCCTGGGGGGGTCTCACTAGCAGCAGCGTCTGTGCACTGTCGCCGGCTGCCGCGTCAGCTTAAAGGATTCATTGCTTTCTACATCTTGAGGGTCCAGAGGTGGGATCTGCCGGCCTGAAATTTTTAGTTACAGTTTATTACAACTTAAGATTTACATGTGAACTGTGTTTGTTCACATTCTGTAAATATTTTAATGCCGGACAGGCCAGAAGTAGCTGACAAATACTCACTGATTTTCTGAAAGAGTTCCTCGACATTGACGGCATTTCTAGCGCTGGTTTCAATGAAAATGGCAGCAATAGACTCTGCAAATTCCTTGGCTTCTTTCATGGGAACCTCTCTGTGAAAAGAATCATATATTAGGACTGAATTTATACTTGGCAAATTTATACCGATGTAATGACTATGACAACCAGTTTTTTTCCCTTCAGGTAAACAACTAAAGAAGTAACGTCTCCATTATTGACAAATGTCTGATTATAAGGTCCAAAACAATCTGATCACTGATAGATCATAAACATTAAGCAGTTTTCAGATGGTAGGTGTGATTACTGAATGGCTAGGTCCCCCCCCACCCCCCAAAAAAAAAAAAAAAAAAAAAGCCATTTATTGGATTTCATACAAACACAGCTCTATTACAGTCTCCTGGAACCACAGAAATGACCGACATCTTACAACAAATTAGTAGCAAACCTGCAGCAATGATCAGAGGTTGCAGCTCCTGCCGTCTAAGTACTACAGTAGACATAACACTGATGCAGAGGATGGAGCAAGCCCTTCAGAGATATGGGCACCGTACCTGATATCGCTCAGGTCATTCTTGTTCCCCGCTATAGCCACAATGATGTCCTCAGGACCATGCTCCTTCAACTCCTTCACCCACTTTTTCAATGTCTGAAAGGAGTCCTGTCAAATGGACGTGTGGGACAGTAACTTTAAGTCAGTGTCAGACCACTACACCTGCAGTTACTTCTTTAGTATTCAGCTTCCTTTTTTTTCTGCCTGACTTTGTATTGAAATGCGTTTGTCTCTGCTGATCAATCAGACAGTTATCAGCTGCATGTTACTGAGATGCTCACATCACATCTCTTGGGATATTTTTTCTTCTTCCTGCTCAAATGAACACCTGCATCAGATTCATAGATCACCTCACAACACGGCACATGCGAGTATTAATTTGTGGAATCTCTATCCTGTGCTAACCCGGCATCCAGAGGGCTTCTTTCCTCCATGCAAGACCTGCTGCAGACTGACTGTTCTGCCCCCAGATGTGTGCATGAGTGCTGGTGTATCAGGTGGTTAACACACACAAAGACCTTCAGTAATTTCAACAACGGAAAAGATCCTTCTGCTACTGATTTGTGTGCCAATCATCTGGTGTCATTGTTTGAGGTCGGTCTGTAGAGTTTACCAGTTTCGTGATGTCATAGACAATGACAGCGGCCGCTGACCCTCGGTAGTACATAGGGGCCAGGGAGTGGAACTAAAAAGAGACACAAAAATGAGAAGCATTTCCTCCCCATTATCTCTACCAGCCAACAGTGAGTGATGGTCCCCATATCAAACAGAACTACGCAGCCCCAAACCTGCAAAGCCTTAGTCTGATAATTGACCTTCACTTTACAATAGAGTGCAGCTTTTCATCTTCTGTCACTCTCCAAGCTTCATATTCTGTAAAACACTCTGCAGCTTCAGATTAGTTTCAGGCTTTTTCATCCATTCAATCTGAATGCTGTTTAAAGCAAACTGACAGTACAGTGCAGTGATACCTAAATGTCAATGTTCATCCGTCAAAATATATTTCAGGATTCACCAATTTTGTCATGCCCTTTTTATTGCAGCTGTTATGTAACTAGAGAAGGCAAGATTTTTGCTAAAAAAAAATCACAAATCACTCACTGATATAAATACATGCACTAACTATGTGTTATACCCACACAAATTTATCAAAATATAAAAGCATATGACTCATTATAAAGAATGACAAAATCTATATTGTTGGAAGTCACGGTATTTTAAAGGCTAAGACACCTACATGTTTAATGTATATATTGATGCTTTTCTGCTATGAAGCCTATATTCACTATTAGTGCATGGCAAATGAGTCACTGTGCAGACTCAGAAATACAGACAGAAAATGTTGCAAATGGAAAACAGAAGAACAGCCATGCAACAACGGGCACAGAAGAGCAAAAGCTGAACATGACGTAATAACAGGCATTTCCTTAAGATGAGCAAGACTGGCATATCGCATAGAACTCACTGTAGGGTTAGGGTTCAGCAGGTAAGAGCCTTCCAGCGAGGAAGTCAGGAGTGGCTTTTACAACGCCACTGTCACAGGAGAGTTGCAAACTTGGTCTCGCATATCTGGCCCGTAGTGGACCAGGTCTCTTGGTTTTAACGCCAAGCTGAGCCGTGTGTTTGGTGAGGACAAATCGTATCCTGGGCTAAAGGCTTTTTCCAATGTTAAATAAAAACAAAGTGATCTGTGACCTGCTGGACATTTTGGCGGGATGCCGAAGCAGCCCTTCCTTACTGTAAGGCCAGCCCATGATGTGACTCTCCAGCTGAGTGACACAGGAAAGATAAGCAGCACAGTTATTGGCAGTTAGGCAGTATAAGCTGCATTCACAAAGGACAACAAGGATAGCCAGTGATGAAAGTAGTTCAGGCCAGTAAGGATCCGTGAACGACACCAACCTCATGCACTGGAACTATGTGATTATACCCCTGACATCTGACACTTACCCTCTCCTGCCCTGCAGTGTCCCAAATCAAAAACTTGTGAAGCTCATTTCCACAAGGAACAGTCTTGGTCAAAAAAGATGCGCTGAAAACCATTCAGATAAGTGTTTACCACCAATGCAGCTAAAGACTGCCAAATGACATCCATCATACCATTAGCTTGAAATGCTAATGTCAGACTTCTTTGTGCTACATACAAAATATGTCCTTATATTACACCACATTATATTTAGGGCCGGGGAATTAATCATGTTAACATATTGCATTACAGTTATAACATGTTATTTCTTTGACTGCATTAACACATGCAGTATTTTGTTATTCCAATGGAAGGGCAGTACAAGCATAGATTTTAAGAGAGGCCTACAATATTCCTTCCTGGTCTGAATCCCGGAATTCAGAGGTAAAATCAAAACATTCAGTTAATCATCTTGCAGGGAAGTTCATTTTACCTGGTTTATTTCTTTTAAAAAACTTGTGGACATACATAGGATAAAAATATCATAATTTGCAATATTTGGTTGAAGGAAGTACAAATGTACAGATTATTGATTTATAAGTTAAACAGATAAGATATGGGTCATTCTGACAAATTTGAATTTTTTTTTAAAAGTTGTGGTGAATTACAGTGGTTTTTTTTTTGTTTTGTTTTGTATAGGGCAACTGAAATTCCCTTAACCTTTTAGGTATACAATAAAACCTCGGATTGCGAGCATAATTCATTCAGGAACGTGCTCGTAATCCAAAGCACTCGTATATCAAAGCGAATTTTCCCATTAGAAATATTCATATAAAATGATTAATACAAAATATAAAGTAAAAATACATAAAACAAATTAACCTGCACTTTACCTTTGAAAAGAATCGTGGATGGTGTGAGGAAAACGAGAGAGAGAAGAGGAGGGTTATTTTTAGGATGACTTTCACTATAACTAACGGAATCACTGCTATCTGTTGGCTCACTGGAATCTTTTTCTGTTTGTGCGACTTTAACAAGGAACCCATCCTATGACAGCTGCTTTTGCCTCCTTTTCGATTTTGCGGAAATGTGGACGTTGCATTGTCGTTAAACAGATTCATCACTCGCACTGCTACGCTCTTATTCTAGTGGTGCTTTTCTACTAAATTTTGACTATTCGAGTGACGCACGCCGACTGAGACTGAGCATGGGAAATGATTACCCACAATCCCACAGCGAGAGAGAGAAGAACCATCGGCTCAGTTGTGATTACATGACACTAGGCAGACAAAGCGTATACGTAATACTCGTATTGAAAAACCTCGCTCGTTTATCAAGTGAAAATTTGTTTTAAAAAAATTTGCTCGTCTTGCAAAACACTCGCAAACCAAGTTACTCGCAATCCAAGGTTTTACTGCACTAAAATTATGTCATTTGGTGCTTTGATTTGATATATATTTAGCATTTTCCGCAAATTGGCAACCAAAAATCAGTAACAAAAAATGTTTTAAATCTTTCAACTTCATTGCATGTAACCCACAATAAACAAGAAATGTGTGTGATAAGATGTATATCTTTGTCAGTTTTGTCATTTTTTTTCCTCATCTCAGTAACTTTTGCCCTGGAACTGATGAGGAACTTTTTTATTGCAGATAAAAATATAAAACTGATCACTACTGTCACGCCTGAAGTGCCTGCAGAGGCGCCCCCTGCTGGCCCCTCAGGCGTGACAACTACCCCAGAAGCAAAATCGAGTGTCGTATAATTCGAGTCTGTCTTCACATTATTTAAAAAAAAAAAAAACTAGAAAATATCGACGTATAAAAATTTTAAGTTTTAATATTAGGTGTGATTAATGACACAAAACTGTGCAATTAATTAGTTAATTTTTTTATCAAACCCCAGCCCTACATCAGGGTGTCGTTTAAAAATAAAAGTCTGAAATACACATCTCTCACCACCTACATCTATTCCGTTGGTGATAAAATGGACCCAGAAAAAAATTCACTTAAAAATATTAACATTTACAGGTAGGCCAAGGCCTCTGAATGTTAGCATTGTAAGCTTAATTACGCCTCATGATGACCATGCTTTCACAGGTACCTATCTCGCTAATCTCAGTAACCACACCAATCTCTTACTTATTTATATTTCTGACAGTGATATTTTAGCTATTCTATGAAAGCAGAAACAAATCAAACAGTCAGCCAACTTGTTTTATGCTGGTGTTTAATTGCTATTTTTCACCAGTTATTCAGTTTGCAGTGTAGTGTTGAGCACAGTAATGTCAGAGATAATCAATCTGCTGTTCATTCAACTTCAATCAAAAGAATGTAATATATACACTGCAATAAATTATATGCATTGCAATAAATTAAATGCATTGTTTTCATGTGTTTATATTGCATTATTGCAACAAGGAAGTAGCCTGTTTCACTACAGGGCTATGGGCTAAGACACAAAAATCAAGTTAAATAAGCTGGAGAATGGAGAGAGGAACTTAATGTGTCCTAGTTTTCATCAGTCTTAACTGTAATTTCTAAATTTAAAATATTAGATTTTCAATATTTCAGATTTTTACATGCTACATTAATTTTCATTTTCATGACCTACTGACCTGTAATCTGCATGCATTGACAGTCTGTTTATTGTTTACGTTTACAGCTTTTCTTGCATTTTCCCACTGTGCCATGCCATTGCTATGTTTGCTAATTAATATTATAACTATTTGCCTGATTGCAGAGCAGATGGACTTTAGCGACTGTGACACCACAGAACTGTGTATTAAAACCGAGTTTATAGGTTGACTAAAAGAATCACATTTAACTATAAGTGTTAGTGCAGTACACTGTACAATTTATTGCACATAAACCATTATATTACATGTTCTATCTATGTTCTTGAGCATAAACAAATTGTATAATTGGTAAATATATTGCATATAACATCATCCATTTTGTGATATAAATTAAAATGTTGATGGGCGACCTGTAAACATTACACAATTATGAAATAATTTGGCACACATTAACTTTTGACCACATGGAACAAATTTAAAGTAAAGAATTTATGATTTTTTTTTCTCATAGTACCTAAGTGACACCCTACTCTATATTTATCATAAGGAGATCTTTGTCCATCGTCTGTTTTGTAGTGCTACCCTCTAGATTGCCCATAACAACATAAGCACTCTCTTTTGTAACATAATTAGGTAGATATTAACTAAGGTGTGGCTTAAATAAAATGTACAGCTGATGAGCAGAAAGAATGCTGTCTGCCGCCTATACAGGCCATTATAATAAGTATATAACGGATTCCTTTGGTGTTTTGCGACGGTATTTCAGAAATGCGCAGTCAATTTATTTACACAACACGATAACTCTGAGAAGGCCAAAACACAAAGCAGCTAAATACTGAGTCATAAATTAAACATCAAGAGTAAAAAAAAAAAAATCACAAGACTCCTGCTTTGCTCCCGTTAAAGAAAAAAAAAACAGAAGAAAACATTTTCCTTACCCTATTGTTGGACTTATATTGTGGTCAAAATGATCTTGTACGAAACGACACACAATACTCGATTTACCAACTCCTGTATCCTGAAAAAGATAACAATATATTATTCTACAACAGATCCCATCTTTAGTAATAACTTACAAACTTAAATCCGAAATGTAACCCCAAATCATATCGCATCTATATTCGATTAGCATGTTTCATACTTTGCAAAATAAGACTTCTTTAGTTTAATTCAGATACACTGAAAAGAACAAAATACCGTTCGGGCCCGGCGGTGACGTCATCGCCGATGATGCCAGAAAGTATTCAAACGGCACAACAACCCCGAAAGTAGAGGCGAAAAGTAGCAAATAAATTAAAATATATGCCATCAGTGACATTTAACAATCCAAGATTCGAATGAAATAAACACGGCTGCCGGAATGCACAGAAACCCAGCTGTAAGAACGCAGGTTTCTAAAACAACATACCGCAGAACCTGGATTGAACGGATGGTTTCTGGAGACGAATATTTTTTAAAAGTAATGAATCACACAACATCGAAGTGGGAATATAAAAGAGTCGCCGTTTTTCTCATATTCTGTCTCCAGGGGCGATGCCGAAGCGCCGACAGAAAAGCTGATAAAGAATCCTCTGTTTCAACTTTTCACTTACCCCAAGAAGACACACTTTCAGTTCCCTTATGGCCATGGTTTGTCTTAAGATAATTTAAGCATCATCTGCCACGGTGTCTCCCCGTCGTTAATTCTTGGCCATGCTCTTTTGCTTACATAAACGTTTTCTGTGCAGAAAATGAGCCCTAACCATACCGCCGCCTCATTGTCCCCCCCCCAGGATAACGGGAAGCGGCCGCAGCGCTCCGGAGGGCAGTCGGCGCTCACGTGACGCGCACGCCGCACCCCCTCGGTCCCGCTCGGACCTCTGCATTATTTAACGCTAAGGGGTTCAGACAATGCGGCCATACGGATTACATGACGAGCCAAGCTTTGGGGTAATTTTTCTTTCATTAAAAACTTTTAAGGGCTGGTTTTCACTTCAGAGGACGCGGCAGCTCGTCAGCGCTCGCGACGATGGTGACGTAATTCTCGTCATAAGAGCCGACTTTGGACCCCGTGAAGGGCTGGAAGCTTGACGTACGAGATTTTCGGGTATAACTTCATCTGATTCAGCTTAATCAGTGTTGCTTCGCCCCCAAACTAACTAATACTAAAGAAACCACACTCAACTGATCACGCTTATTTGTATATCTAATTAAGCTCTTGCTTGTTGAAAGTATGGACAAATCTAGAAAAGGACACAAATCAGCAGATCATGCGCTTTTTTCACTTCGGCGTCTGGCTGTGCAAAAAAAGTAGTCCGAGACAGCACAGGATCTGCATAATATACAACACCATACAATATATTACTTTTTAAATAATTCTCCTGTTTTTTTTTTGTTGTAAAAATGCACAAGTTTTAATAGTGGAGACATCGGTAATACTACGTGTATAGTGTGTAGCGAAAGCGAAATAATACAGAATCTTTTTGCATTGAAAGGCAAATAACTCAACAAGAACAAACATACAGTTATAAAACAAATCGAAATGCGTGCTGTTAGAAAATGAATTTATATCTGTCAGTAGGAACAGCTATTTTCTTTCAAATAACTAAAAAATGGAATCGATTACATCTTAGTCTGGTTAACATGGTCGAAATATAATAAATTAGATTTTTAGAGTAGTGAGCTATTTTGTTTAATCTGTCAGACATATTATGTTTGGTAATTATATGCAGCTATGTCCATTACAGTTTGGTTGTGATCATAACTGACTTATGAATATGAAGCCATATACACTTTGATCCAGTGTGCCAGTGTCCTTGTCAGTGCCGTGAAAAATGGTATGCTCACTGTTTTCAACTCAAACTCCCAGGATCCCGTCCCTCCAGATTTTTTCCACAGCTAGTTGAAACAGTTGTGGTTGCAACTACAAGAAGATGGCGGGCTTGGTATTTCGCAGCTGAATCAACCCACTGTGCCTGCTGGTCACGTTATGGGTACTTTGGAGGAAACGGGTGAAGTCGCTGTCGGTCACCATATTTATGTTGTGATTGTACCGGGAACTGAGAAGGACGGTTGTGAGGGCTCTGAGGGCAGATAAGGAGGCTTTTGTTAGACAAATTTGTGAGCAGGTGACATACCATCAGTGGTCTAGTGACCCATGTCCTGCTTACAGAGGAATCGAAGCATCACGCACATCTTTTTTCCCCAATGAAAGTGCACATCCCTAAACCCGTCCTCACCACCTTCTACAGAGGCACCATCAAGAGTTTTCTGACCAGCTGTACTACAGTCTGGTATGGAAACTGCCACACTTCAGACCACAGAGCCCTTCAGAGGATTGTGCAGACAGCTGAGTGCATCATTGGTAGCTCTCTACCCAGCCTGCAGGACATTTACACCTCCCACTGCATCCGTAAGGCCACCAGCATCGCGGCCGACCCTCACTATCCCTCCCATGGACTGTTCACCCCCCTTCGATCTGAAAGAAGATTCTGCAGCATCTGGAGCAGGTCTGCTAGAATGTGCGACAGCTTCTTCCCCCAAGCAGTCCGGCTCCTGAACACCATGCTGCCCCCTTCCACACTGGACTGTCTCCTTAACTTCTCTTATACCGAACACATGTTTTATTCTCATTGCATACTTGCAGAATTGCTCATATTTGCACAAGAAAATTGCACAGCAGTACACATCTACACTAACTATATTAGAAGAACATTAGCACTGTTTCTCATAGCATATAGTTGTATAATGTATATTGTATTGTCACAGCCTCCCTGATGTGCCCCCCCTCCTAAAGGTCGTTGTCTCTGTCTGAGTCTGCTGTTATCCTGTTGTGTTAAACCTTTGATCCTGGAGAACGTTATTTCGTCTCACTGTGTGCTTTAATGTATATGGTTGAGGTGACAATAAAGCTCTACTACTACTACTACTACTACTTGTCCTCATGAGTTATGCTGGATTTCCCTGGATACTCCAGCTCCCTTCCACAAATCAAGGTCATGCAGTGGGGCTGTGTACCTGTGCCCTGCAACAGACCGATATCCCATCCCTGCTGCATGCAGTGGGGCTGACTGTGTACCTGTGCCCTGCAACAGACCGATATCCCATCCCTGCTGCATGCAGTGGGGCTGACTGTGTACCTGTGCCCTGCAAAAGACAAGCTGAAAGCTAAGGGGTGTCAATGAATTTCATGTAGCACTCAGTGACACCACTAGGTGGAGGCAACTGTATCTGATGATTTCTTTATGGTCTTGAATTCTTTTTCTATGGATTTATAGAAATCCCACGTTTCATGGATGCTCTTCACTGCAGCTTTTGTCCCAGTCCCCCCACCTTAGTGTGAATCAATCAAAGCAGCTTCAGTTCTGGAGCTGCTCACCCACGGTTCGCTCTGGCGAGCTGCCCGTCACATTCACCCCCCCCTGCAATTGGCTTTTCGCCTGTCACAGGCTACATAAAGGCTGCTCTTCACTGACCTTTCAAAGGCACCCAGAGCCTCCCGAGTCAGTCATGGAAGCCATAACCATGCATGGCATCTCCTATACATGCCGCTGCTGCTGACAAAGCCTGTGCAGCCAGCTGGCTGTGACTCACAGGAAAATGTCCCAGCACACGTTCTGGGCCACTGTGGTGCCTGGTGGCAGTGAGCCGGATAACCAAGGCCAGCCACGTCGACACGACGACACCCTGCACTACCTGCTCACACCGTCCTGCAGGCATGAAGAACATGCAGATATTTACCTCTGGACTGATGGCTGCATGTCCTTGCCTGGGGTACCATCACCGACGAAGCATAATCCTTTGATCCGTTTCATCACCCTGCAGCTGTGGAAGAATGGTACTGAGGTAGGGGGAGTTATAGGATTAATGTTTTGTCTTAGGCTTTAGGCAAGAAGATGCTGTTGCATTCTCGGATTGCGCTTAGGCCTTAGGCAAGATGATGATGTTACATTTGGGGATGTAGGAACAACACTTTGCACTAAGCTTTGGGCCAGAGTATGTTGTTGTTGTTTTGGTGAAATTCAGGAGAGAAAGTATGCTGGAGAAGACATGCTGGTGCCAGTCAAGGAACTGTCCTAATTGGGAAGAGGGAATTTATCCACTGGGCTTGTGAGGGAAGGGTGTCACGATTGCAGTGAACAGCACATGAGCAGCCGGGAGGGGAGAATCCTGCTCTTATTCTGTTTCTGGTCATTTGAGCTAATAATATGAAGTGCTTACCGTCATTATAGGATATCACAAGTACACTTGTATAACCACTGTCAGTACAAGCAATATGATTAATTACTTAATATTTTATTGTTACAATCATGTAATCATTATGTATGTATTTAGTAAGCAAGACTGGAGGTCGAAAGAGGAAATTCAAGGATAGACAAGCTATCCGGCCCCCCTACTCAAATCAGGCCCTCGATTCCAAATCCAGGCCTTGTTTTCAAGTCTCCCAGGTAGTTAGCTTAATAATTTCAGGCTCTAATTGGCCAGAGGCTTCACAACTGGCTCTCAGGTAAAGGAAAGCTGGAAAAAGAGCAAGGCTCGGACCTCAAGGACCGTGATTTGAATAGCCCTGCTATACGGTGACCAATTGTGAAAGATGATCTTGTAAAGGGGGGCTTTTGGAATTATATAATGGAGCACTTTTCTTTTGAGGGGTGTGCAAGCACCCGGATTATGCGGAGCACTCTGTGACACTAATTTGCATCATCTCACCAATAAAGAAGATTTTACCTTACCAACCCCGAGTTAAGGACTTAGTTATTTTTTTGTCCAGAGCTAAGGTACTGGAGGGTCGTCTGGGGGTACATTTTTCACTTCCACACAGCCAGTGAACGTTATGACAAAGCATTTAGGAAAAACTTGACTTCCTTTTTTTTGTTACAATAACAGTGTAAGGTTTTGCTGTTTTAATATTTAGCAAGTTAGGCAGTAAGTACCAATGGAGTCTGGTCTTCATTCCACTCTTAACGTGCAAGGTGGTGATCAGATATGTACCTGAATGACTCAAAGCATCACTCCAATTCAGACCATCAACACTTTATTCCTCTCAATATCACCATCTGCAAACAAGCTAGAAAACCTCTAAACATCACGAAAATAAACCTAATGATGAGCAAGCCCATCAGTAACCATTTCAAACACACCATCCAAATACACTTGTGTTAGCAAAGGGTAGAATTTCCACAAACGGCTGTTCTGGACGACCTCCGGTCCGGCTGAGGGTGACGTCCACCTGAGCGAAGAAGCCTGGAGGTGTGACCAGTCAAAGAGACAGGGTCACTTAGAATTCACCCCCCACCACATGGCATGTATGGAGGAGCTCACACCCAAATCTGACAGTAGGACTTGGACCCACATGTAGCACCACAAGTCACCGACTGTCCCCATGGTCAAACCAGGAAGTATGTGCCCATAGAAACAGTGTCTCCTATGGGATTCCTACACCAAAGGTGTCAAAAGAGTGGCATCTTTCATAATTAAAAAAGCCTCAAAACCATCTTTCAACACATAATGTGTTGAGATATTTTTTTCCTCATGTTTAAACCGTAAAAGGTCACATAAAAAAAATACAAGTGAACCATCAACAATCAAGCCGTCACCTCTTTAACAAAGTTGCTACTATGTGGATGTTGGGGAATTTCTAAGAGGGACTAAATACCGTGGGGGGGGGGTTGTCTCTGTGGGACAGGCTGTCTTGTGCTGCACATGGCAGAGCTGCTGGCCCCCGTGCTTCAGTGTCTCGACATTATACCCAGCTCGGGAGTGTGGGCTTGGTGCCAGCACCGAAGGGACCGACCCAAGCAGCTCTGGATTGTGGGCCTGGTGCCGGCGCCGAAGGGACCGACCCAAGCAGCTCGGGAGTGTGGGCCTGGTGCCGGCGCCGAAGGGACCGACCCAAGCAGCTCGGGAGTGTGGGCCTGGTGCCGGCGCCGAAGGGACCGATCCAGCAGCTCGGGAGTGTGGGCCTGGTGCCGTCGCCGAATGGACGGACCCAGCAGCTCGGGAGTTTGGGCCTGGTGCCGGAGCCAAAGGGACTGACCCAGCAACTCGGGACTGTGGACCTGGTGCCAGAGTCAAAGGGACTCACCCAGCAGCTTGGAAGTTTTGGCCTGGTGCTGGATTCACACACAGCTAAGCAACAACAATACTTCACAAAAATAAAGGAGTAATATATTTATATATGTGTATCTATATATGCGCATATTCAATAAGTGAAATAATCAGAGCTTCCCCCCACATCCGGAAGTCACACAGACTGGACACTGACTGCAGTTCCCTGGCTGTACTCCAAGACACCCTTGCATGTCCCACTGCAAACTGCAGTGCTGGGTAAGCTTGCACATCACTGTTTCCATGGTGCCCATCCTCTGCTGTGCTTTTCTTTGCTGGGTGGGGAATAGTGCATAAGTGCTCCTGGTCCGCTCTGTGTGCCTGTCCAGGTGCTCCGTGATGCCCCCCCCCCCACAGATGCAGGGCCAGGACAGTCCAGGGGAATGACTCACAGGTTAGTTTCCCAGCGGTCCTTGCTGGGCGAAGGTTTCAGGACTTCCTTGGTGACCTTGCCATTAGAGGGTGCTGGAGAGTCACCTGCGGGCACTGTGGGCTGCGTGGCGCTGCGCTTGCCAGGCTCCTCAGGCCGGGCCTCGGGGCTCGGCTGCGACGGCTGGCCTGCCTGCACCGACTGTGCCACCTGCTCCTGCTGCAGCTTATGTGACTGCAGGAGGCGGAGCTGCACACGCAGCTCAATGATAGCCTCCTGCTCCTCGTGGATAGCCTGATTCAGGTGCGTGTTCTTGTTCTGCAGGATGAGCAGATTGACAGGCCATCAAACGTCAAATCAGGTGAGGTTGGGAAGCATACATTGGTATAGCATGTTGCCGCAAACACCATATGACGAAATGCCTCGGGATCCCAGTTGGTGACCCCCCCCACCCGGGCCAACATGCGGTACAGCCCCACCCTCTGGGAATGGCCATCTGTCTGCCACAACCAGGTATTACAAGGTTATCCTCTTGGGCTGGTCCAGCTGCCTGGGTCCTCAGCAATGAGGATCCTGCGAGCCGGATCAGTTTCAGGGAATCGGACCACATGGCCGCACAGCTGTAACTGACATTCTCTCTCAACGCAGGTCATGTGCCTCAATGGGGACTCCCCTAGCAACTGCTCGTTCAATACAAAGTAAGACCAGCGGTACCCAAGGATTCTCCAAAGAGACACAGTACCGAAGGAGTCCAGTCCAGGGAGACTTGGACCTTTGTCCTCTTACAAAGATATCAGGAGCACCAGTCCATCTACTTACTTCATAGGGAGACGTGAACATCACTGGACGAGGTTGACATTCTCTCCGTAGACAGACACGCACTTATGGTTGTGCCTAACAGGTCACTAAAGGCCTGGATTTTGGTTTTTATCCAGGACACTTGCAAGCCCAGGCACTCAGACTCAGTCTCTCAAGAGCCCTGATCAGAGCCTCCATTGACTCACAAAGATCACACAAGAGACCGAATAATGTCAGCCAAAAGAACTATGTATAGGGAAAAAAGGAGGGGCCCAAGGATAGATCCCTGAGGTACTCGCTATTCAGTGCTGCCGTATCAGAAAAGACTCCCCCCATCCAGACAGAAAAATACCTGTCTGATAAGCAAGATGAAAACCAATTTAATGCAGAACCAGAGATCCTAACCAAATTCTGCAACCGATTCTGCAATCAATTGTGTCAAACGCCACAGTAAGATCAAGGAGTACCAACACTGAACAGTCACCATTATCTGCAGCCATTAAAATATCATTAAAACTTTAAGAAGAGCCGTCTCAGTAGAATGCTTTTTACGAAACCCTGACTGAAATGATCAAGAAACTGACATTTCTCCAAATAGACACTGAGCTGCAGTTGGAACAACTTTTCCAAGATTTTACTAAAAAAGTCATTTAGAAATTGGTCTGAAGCTGACAGGTAGAGAAGAGTTTAAGTTAATTTTCTTCAATAGAGAGTGTACAGCCACCTGTTTAAAATACAAGGACACACCTTTGCAGCAAGGAGCAGTTTATAATTAATACTATAAACGGAGCTGCAGAATCGAAGGCAACAAGCAGAACAGAAGTGGGAAGAATTTCAGAAGAGATATAAGAAGGTTTCATTTTAGGTAATAAATCAGAGAGATCAGCAAGCAAAATTGGATAGAAAGAAGCGAAAGACTCGATAAATAAATACGATGTAAATACGAATAAAAACGATAAATAAAACGATGGCTGACTGAATATGAAGCAGTGTCATTTAAAATATCAGTACAATAATCATTAAAAGACTGTACTAGTGATTCCACGTTGTCCTCATCAGCTAATACAGTTATTCAACCGTTGGGAGAATTCAGAGATAACGAAGTCGGTTATAATGTGACCACATTTAATGTTTTTTTTTTTAGCCATAGCAACTCCGACTTACAGATTAGTTTAACACTATGGGAACTTGGGGCGTGGAACACACACTCACTGACTGGGGCGTGGAACACACACTCACTGACTGGGGCGTGGAACACACACTCACTGACTGGGGCGTGGAACACACACTCACGGACTGGGGCGTGGAACACACACTCACGGACTGGGGCGTGGAACACACACTCACTGACTGGGGCGTGGAACACACACTCACGGACTGGGGCGTGGAACACACACTCACTGACTGGGGTATGGGACATTTCTTTCAATATCATAAACTTATAAGTTATAAAATATGTTTGTTTTGGCATTACACTCATCTTAATTTTAATGTATATTGTAAATATGTCAGATTTATGTGAAGTTTGTAATGTGACATCAACGTATAGACATTGCAAAATGCAGTTTGGAACACTTGCAGAAACATTATCAAAGTACATAGTAAGCAATGGCGGAAGTTTGTTTTGATCCCAGATATCTGATCACCAAAGTCTTGGCTACATGAAGATGATTAAATGGTGTAGTTGCAACATTCAGTTGGATAAATAAATAAGAAAAACCTTCCATTGAATATTTAGGAGCTCTCATGTGTATGAATGAGCCATTGACACCTGGCCACATCCCCCCCCTTTTATGGCGCTGAAGGGGATGTATCTGGATCGTGTTTCACCGTTGCGCTGTTCATCAAATTACCATGCGAATGTGATTTGAATACGCGCTAATGCGGCTGTTTAGAATGTGAATAGCGATCTTCAGGTGAGAGCGGTGACATGGTTTACTTTTTTGCCGATTTAACCTGATTTAAAAAACATTAATACTTCCGACAATGGACGTTTTGAAAAGAAGACAGATTACGGATTTAGTCAGCGTTTTTTTTTCATGATTCTACATACAGATTTCAGCAAGATATAAACTGAAATAGACGTGAAAAATGTGCTGCATCGCCGACGATGCACTCGTGACCCAGAGGGTNACTTGTGATCACTAAAAACATCAATTAAACACAGATCATCAATCCGCACGCCATGATACTAGATGATGCCGAATACCAAGTCCATGTGTCCTTTGAGATGAGTAGAGCCAGAAACATTTTGAATAAACTTACAAGTGTCCGTTATGGATTTTTAAAAAATATCACCCGCCGATTTACAAAGTGGATCATCAACATGAAGATTAAAATCATCCATTATTAAAACCTTATCTAGGTTAAAAAATCTTGAAAATCCAAAAGAAGAGATCACCAACAGCACCAACTCGTCGATAAATCAGAATACAATATACAGCAGTTTGCTGACCAACTTTAAACACAAGTCCCTCAAAAGAACTATACAGTGCGGTACTAACTGTTTGACATAAAAAAGATTTTTTAAAAACAACTGCTAAGCCACCGCCACGGCCAGAAAGCCGTCAAATGGGACGGTCTGGTCTATGGATAATTTTCTGTTTGTGTCACCAGCTGTTCCCTTCCTTACCCTTGAGTCACGAAGCACTGCTGCTGCTTCCTAGCCGGGACACGCCCACTTTACCTCTGAGCAATGAACCCTGGGATACCTTAGGCTGCAAAAGATCCACTGGGTGCATCCTTCACTACTCGGCAAAAGGAGGACACATTCCTCGACAGCACGCCCCATGACTACGGCTGGCATGATAACCTGTCACGCCGGCCTCTCCTCTCACCTCAAGCTCCTCATTCTGCCGCTGCAGGTCCTCCAGGATGATCTGCAGTTCCTCCTCGTCCTCGCTCTCACTCTCGCTGTCCGAGGAGTACTCCTCCGTCTCGCTGCGGGCCTGCTGCCGGCTACAACAAGGAGGGCGGGACAATCAGAACCATGCAGGTGCGCTGGGTGGCCCCCATTCAGAATTCATTTACAACTTCAAAGTACATTTATGGAGTCTGGTGATTGTCAGAAATAACGGCTGAACGGAGGACTTTGCGGCTCCTCCCTCTGACCTCTGGATGTCGGCAATTTCCGCCCGCAGCCGCTCCACCTCCTCTTTCTCGGTGGCAATCTGCCGGCGAAGGACTTGCTCCAAAGCAATAAGCTCCTCCTGCTCCGTCAGGATCTCGTTCTCCTGTGGCGGGACAATGGAGCACAAAGCCATACAGGCGCATATTCAACAGTGTTTACATGACACCGCTGCTGACTGTTCATCTGCAAAACATACCGATACATAAACCTATTATCTGGTAACTAGCAGTGTAACAGCTGTAAGCTGACATGCTTTTTATCAATTATGCTGTCAGCCTAATTATGGGTCAGTCATGAGAAGGACCGACCAAAACAAAGAGCAGAGCATGGCCTCACCTGTGCCAGGAGGATGTTGATAACCTCCTCCTCGTTCTCCGTCATCTCCTCCTTAGACACATCCTCCTTGGAGAGGCTGGCGATCTCCTGGGCAATCTTGGTCTCACACTCCTGTGGTCCCAGACGAGACAGTCTTCAACCTCAACCTTAACTTTATTTGTATAGCACATTTAAAACTATAGTGCTTCACAGGTTAGCCAGCAATAAAACAAGGAACAATAGAGACAATTGAACACACTAAAATAAGATGAAAATAACATAAGGTACAATAACGCTGCACAGATGTCTGGGCTCAACTCGAACCAAAAGCCAAGGAAAGTAGGTGGGTTTTAAGCGAGGACTTGAAAGTCTCTAAATTACAAACAGATCTGATGTTCTGAGGTAGGCGGTTCCACAGGACCGGGCCTACAGCCGAAAAGGCCCGATCCCCTCTATTTTTAAGCCTTGTCGTGCGAACATCCAGAATCAACAGTATTAGAGGAAGCCCAAATAGCGGTGATATGAGGAAAGCTGGTGAGTCAGCACAGCACTGACCTGTCGCTTAGCCTCTCGCAGCTTGCGCTTGAGGGCGGTCAGGATGCGCTGCACCTCCCACAGACGCTCCTCCTTGGACAGATCCTTCACACCCGCCTGCAGGTCCCGATGGAGGCAGTTCAGCAGGAACTCCTGTCCATGCACACAGGGAGCGGTGAACTAGCATAATTCACAAAGCAGGCCAGCCATTGAGGAGTGTGGCTGGGACAGGCTCACCTGACGGCGGATCTCCTCTTTGATGCTCTCCTGGGTGTCAGGCAATGCTGGCATGGTGGCCATGTTGGACCAGCGCAGAGGACGGATGGCTGGCTTCAGAAGCACATCCCCAAAGAGCTCCTTCACGTGGGTGAAGAAGATGTATAGCACGCGGTTCCCAATCTGAAGAAGGGGTGATAAATTACTGTCCACAGCTCCCATCAACAAGCTCCCACACTCAGCTCAAGCATCCAGGGGCATTATCACTGCGGGGCATTAACATCCAGGGACCTTAGCACTGCAGAGCATTGGCATCCTGGGGCATTAGCACTGCAGAGCATTGGCATCCTGGGGCATTAGCACTGCAGAGCATTGGAATCCTGGGGCATTAGTACTACAGAGCATTAGCACTGCGGGGCATTAGCATCCAGGGACATTAGCACTGCAGAGCATTGGCATCCTGGGGCATTAGCATCCAGGGACATTAGCACTGCAGAGCATTGGCATCCTGGGGCATTATCACTGCAGAGCATTGGCATCCTGAGGCATTAGCACTACAGAGCATTAGCACTGTGGGGCATTACCACCGTGGCACATCGTCACTGCAGGGCATTAGCTTGGTGGGCGTTAAGTTCTTGGGGCATTATCTTCGCAGAGCATTAGCATCATGGAGCATTAGCATCCTGGGGCATTATCACTGCAGGGCATTAGAACTGTTCTATATTAGCATCCTGGGGCATTATCACTGCAGGGCATTAGAACTGCTCTATATAAGCATCCTGGGGCATTATCTACAGTGCAATTAGCACCCTGGAACATTTTCACCAGGGGGATTAACATCCAGGGACATTATCACCATAGATCATGGGTGGCGAACCTGACCCATGGTTTTTGTGGACGATTAATTTTATAAAATGAACAAAAAGACAAATCATTAATTGCAGTTATTTGTATAACAATTAATCGTCAACAAAAATTTCATGATCATGACAGCCCTAGGTGGGACAAAGACCGCTGTTTTGAATATTGGGTGGGATGTGTCCCCCCCATGCATAACACCTGCTGATTAAAATACTGGGGCTTAGACATTCATCATCACTGGCTCTGCGAATATAAAATGGGTGACTGCAGGCTCACACTGACAGCATGGGATCAGAGTTCCTCATTCTGAATGACAGGATAAATCAGGCATCTTACAGCTTCAGACATTCAGCACTGCACTTCTGAAGCTTTTAGACTGACAATCTTTCTGGAGATCAATAGCCAGAACTTCCCAGCATAAAATAAGTCTTTTTGAAGGAAGTCTTTGTGATCGACTCCGGTGCCCCCCACCCGAGGGTGAGGCCAAACCAGGCAGAGCTGGATTTATTCATTTTCTCTAGTGAATGGAAATCCTGCACCACAGCTGTAACTGTAAGGTGTAACCGATTAAGAAACACAAATGGCTGTAGTGATAACAGATCACACAGCACAGCCCCTGCTAATATCAGAAAGCAGGGCTTTTTATACATGGAGGTTTCAGTCACAAATTACAGACCCTTCTTACGTTTGACGGAACAGAAGCAAAACAGTCACGCTCGCCTGTTTTGTGATGCAGTCCTCTGTCTACTCTCTAACCTACACCGTACATTCGCTCCGTCCAAGTGTCGCAAGGCCTGACCTGCACCGTGGGGTTGAGGACAATAGAGATGTTCTGGATGTTCATCTTGGTGTCGGCCTCCCTGCCAATGACGTGGTCCATGTGGGTGATGAGCCAGGCCAGCAGGAGGCGCCCAAAGGCAGGAGCCTCGGCCAGCAGCCGCTGGCACTCCTGCACCTTGTCGGCCTCGGTAGGCCGGCCACAGGCCTCCTCCAGGCGGGCCGCCACATCGCGGCCCAGCAGACTGTCAGGTAGCTCACGCAGGTACTGCTTCAGGAGGCTGGCCACCGTGTGGGGGTCATACTCCTCCAGGCAGGGACACTCCTCACGGTCGTATGCCGCCTTCAGTTCATCCACCTTGGACTTCATCCCTGCGGGGGAGGGGGGAGGCAGCACATGACAGTGAAGGTGGGCGCAGTGAAGGTGGGCACAGAGGGCACAGGGGGGTCAGAGAGGCCACAGCCGGCAGGAACAGGGAGCTCCATGACCTACCTGAGACACGGTAGATGCCCTCGCACTTCATGCCGTAATTCTCAATGTAGGTGACACACTCCCTGAAGATGGCGGGCAGCTGGATGCCGTCATAGAGCGCCGTCCTCTTCACGGCCTCGTCCAGCGGCACCCCGAAGACAGGCCGGCATGATGGCACCTCAGCGGGGACAGGCTCCAGCTCACCGCTCGGTTTCTTCTTCTTCTTCTTTTCTTTCCATTGCTTCACCACGTCCGCTGCTGTCAGGTCCTTGGACTTCTTTTCCTTGGCCTTGTCCTCCTTGGGCTTCTCCTTCACCTTGAAGTCCTTCTCCTTCTTCTTGGAAAAGCTGGGCTTCTTGAACACATGGATGCCCTTGGAGCGCTTCATTTTAGATGGGCTCTCAGCCTCGTCTGCCGAACTGTCCTCCTGAAAGGCGGCGTAGCCCTCAGCTTGTTAGGCACGGAAAATAAAAAATGGAGAGTGGAGGGTTAGAACACAACCCCAATCTCAAAAGTACGCAAGCACAGGATAAGGGGTAAGGGAGAATGTAGGAGTACAGAAGACGGGAGGTCAGTTCTGACCCCACTGGCCCTCCCTCCCCCGAGACAGAGCCCTTTCCCCACTGGCCCTCCCTCCCCCGAGACAGAGCCCTTTCCCCACTGGCCCTCCCTCCCCCGAGACAGAGCCCTTTCCCCACTGGCCCTCCCTCCCCTGAGACAGAGCCCTTTCCCCACTAGCCCTTCCACGCCTGAGACAGAGCCCTTTCCCCACTTCCTGGCACTTTACACCTCAGCCCACAGCCTCAGGAAGCAAGCTACTTTGGTCTGTACCAGTGCTACCTGACAGAGGGTCTTTGTGCCCCAGTGTTGATCTTTGAGGGGAACTGAAATGGATTGAAGACTTGGGTCAAATGGATTGAAGCATTGGGAGCAACCTCAGAGGGTCAGCCACACCACATTGCGCCCTCCAGTGGTAAATAACCCTCCTCTTCTCCTCTCATCTCCCTCACACCATCCACGATTCTTTTTAAAGGTAAAGTGCAGGTTAATTTGTTTTATGTATTTTTATTTTATATTTTGTATTAATCATTATTATATGAATATTTTTGGGTTGTTGAACGAATCATCTGATTTTCCATTATTTCTAATGGGAAAATTCGTTTTGATATACGAGTGCTTTGGATTACGAGCACGTTTTCGGAACGAATTATGCTCGCAAGCCGATGTTTTACTGTACTTGTTTATGTCCTTGTGTACTGTAAGTACATAATGTGTGGTTAGTTTTAGCAAAATACTTATTTTTAATGTAAGGTCCATACCACACTTGATAAACGTAACCTAAGAACAGCTTTGCTCTACAGTGCCACCCCAGCCCTTGCGCCAAAGTTTATGGTGGTGTGGTGCAGTGAGTGCAAGAGGTATGAACGTCACGAAGTGCAGATGGTCAGGCACTGTGGCACACTGGGGCCTGCCTGCAGGCGGTGGAGACCAGCCCTTATCTATCCTCCCTTTCCCACTGCAGAGTCTGTGAAGCTCAGGGCTTTGCTCTTATATTATTTTGTAGGACGACTTTCACTATAACTAACGGAATCACTGCTATCTGTTGGCTCACTGGAATCTTTTTCTTTTTGTGCGACTTTAGCAAGGAACCTATCCAATGACAGCTGCTTTTGCCTCCTTTTCGATTTCGCAGAAATGTGGATATTGCATTGTCGTTAAAGAGATTCATCGCTCGCACTGCTACGCCCATATTCGGGTGGTGCTTTTCTACTAAATTTTGACCATACAAGTGAGGCACGCTGACTGAGACCGAACATGGAAGACGATTACCCACAATCCCACAGCGAGAGAGAGAGAGAGAGAGAGAGAGAACAACCATCGGCTCAGTTGTGATCACGTGACGCTCGGCAGACAAAGCATTTATGTAATATTCGTATTGCAAGACCTCACTTGTTTATCAAGTTACAATTTATTGAAAATTGTTGCTCATCTTGCAAAACACTCGCAAACCAAGTTACTTGCAATCCGAGGTTTTACTGTATATAGCATTGCAGTTACAAACATAAGGGAGTTTTCCTGATCCCTGATGCCTTCGATGCCTTTACTCCGTGACATCCATCCAGCCTACCCACCACTGTCCCCGTGACGTCCGTCCAGCCTACCCACCACTGTCCCCGTG